CCGGATCCGGCTGTTCGGCTGTTCTATCCGCCCGCGGAGCCGAAAGAGCGGAGGGTTCTGTTGCTCTCCCCTCCGCTCCTTCCCCAGCAGCAGTGTTAACATGGCAACGTCGGGAAACACGCCGCAGCTCCTTCTTCTGAGTCCAGTTTAAGAACCCATTGTGGCCCTTGAGTCAAAAAGTTTGCCCACCCCACTCATAGGGCAGCCTGGTGATGGGCACTGTGCCACACACTCCCCAGAGCAACCTCTGAGCCGCACAGCCACCCCGGCTGACGCAGGGACGTTCTTCTCCCCATCAGCCTACACCTGAGGCTCAGAGACGTGACGTGACTTGTTCAGGCTCGCGTGGGAAGTGGCAGAGCCGGGAGACACAAGCCCCACCCCGTGGTTCTGAGTTCCCGTTCCCTCCTGGCAGCCTGTCAGTGGACGGCTCCAGAGGGCCCCTGACCACCTGGATGCCACTTGCAACATCGTTCACCGTAGATGCCTGTGTCAGCAACTGCTCCAGATCACGGGTGACTTGTGCCCCATCAGAGACTTTAACATCCTGACCAGACGGGAATTCTGGGGCCCCAGAGGGACCTGATTGTGGAATTCCGCTTTTTCTATATCTGTATATGTATCTATCTACCTATATATTTAATTGATTTCAGAGAGGAAGGGAGAGGGGGAGAGAGATAGGAACACTGATGATGAGAGAGAATCATGGATCAGCTGCCTCCTGCACGCCCCACATTGGCGATCGAGCCCGCAGCCCAGGCCTGTGCCCTGACCGGGAATCGGACGGTGACCTCCTGATTCAAAGGTCAATGCTCAACCACTGAGCCCCGCCGGCCGGGCCGCCTGAGCTTTCGTTCCTCATGTAGCCCTGGCTCTGGACGAGGCTTTGGCGTCACCCTCGCCGCCTCCAGTACCATCTGAGGGTGAGTTCCCCTTTGGAAGGTCACTACCCTGGCCCCGTGGGCCTCTCTCCCCGTCGTGGGCCGGATGAGCACAGAGGGTGTGCCCCTGTCTGACAGCCAGCGTGATGCAGACTCCCCAGCTTCCCTCTCTGCCTCGGGAGGGGATGTCCTGCCCCTATTCTAGCCTCTCAGAAAGCAGAAGTTGGGTCTTAACGCCGATGTCCATCACAGCCTCCCAGGTGGCTTCATGGGGCCCTCATCCAGGGACCAACCTCTCCTGGAACCCATGAGGCCGCCATACCTTCTCAGCCGAAGCAGGAGACGTCTTTCTCTTTCTTTCTTTTTTAATTAAATATATTTTTATTGATTCAGAGAAGAAGGGAGACGGAGAGAGAGAGAGAGAGAAACATCAATGATGAGAGAGAATCATGGACCGGCTGCCTCCTGCTCGCCCCACACTGGGATTGAGCCTGCAACCCCGCATGTGCCCTGACTGGGAATCGAACTGGGACTTCATGATACATAGGTCAACACCCAATCCCTGAGCCACGCTGGTTGGGCAGGAGTTATTTTCTTTGTGGACCAAACACACAGATCTCTGAGCGGTGACCTTCATTCCTTAGGTAGGGTCCGTGAGCCTCAGTTTAGAAATGGGATCTAATAACATACATAGGTCACACAGAGTTAATGTGTCATGATTACACTTGCGCAAGTCAATGTTGATTTTTAAATTGCCAGTGCATGTCATATGTACTGGCCGGTTGGTCGGACGGTCGGTCACTTAGCCTTTTACATATACAGACTAGAGGTCTGTTGCATGAAAAGATTCACGCAATAGGCCTCCCCTTTCCCTGGCTGCTGGCACCGGTTTTCCTCCGGCACCCGGGACCCAGGCCTTCACTCTGGTGGGAGCCGCCTTCAGTTTTCGCTCCGCCACTTTGCGCCTATGTATGCAAATTTTGCATATCTTGCTGATTAGCCAATGGGAGGCGTAATGAAGGTATGGTTAATTTCAATCTTTGTCTATTATTAGATAGGATTATTATTATTTTTCCACCTCCGAACCTTCTAGGAGGCCTCTCTGATGGCCATTTCCCTTCCCCAAGGTCCGTGACTCCCCAAGGAGCCCAGTGTTCTTTAGCAGGAGCGCTGGGTCCCCCGTTCCTGAGCCATCCCCCACACCGTGCATGACGTGGGCAGCTGGCCAGGGATGGGGGAGTCTGGCCTCCTGGGGGGCTCCATCTTGGCAGCGTTTCCCGAAGCACAGATGCTGGCGCTTTGGGGATAAGCGAACGTCCCTTTTGAGGTCTGATTTGTTTCTCTCCCTTTTCCTGAGCTCCCTTTTCCAGCTGATTTGCTTGGTGTTTTGCAGCCTGAGAGATAATAACATCTCGGACCGCGGCATGTGCACGCTCGCCGAGCACGCCCTGCGCTGTGAGGAGCTGCAGAAGCTCGCGTGAGTCGGGCTGGGCCAGGTCCTGGGAGCGGCTATGAGCTGGGGCGGGCTGGGCGGGCGTTGCGTGGCTGAAGGGTGCAGGTGCCTCCCATCCTGGAGGAATGGGCTGCCCTGGGTTTGGGGGGGTCACTGTCCGCGTGTCTGGTCTCCAAGTCTCTCTTTTGAACTTTCCAGTTTATTCAACAACAAGCTGACGGACGGCTGTGCCCAGGCCCTGGCGCGGCTCCTGGAGTGCCGGCAGAACTTCCTGGCACTGAGGTGAGCCTGGCTCCCCCACAGCTCTGTCCGCCCCGGGCTCGGCCCCTGCTGGGTGCGTGACTCCTGCCGAAGACAGAGGGAGGGAGCAGGGTTTTGCTGATGCTGTGACCTCCCAGCAAACCCTGCGCCTGCTCGGCTGAGGGCTGACCTGGGAGGAAAGTATGACAGTGAGTCACCTCGCTCCCTGGGAAACCACCTGCTGGGACCTCTGCCTCCTGTGGCTCCTGCCCATGCCCACCCCCCCACCTGCTCTGCCCCTCCTGTCCCTGTGCTGGTGGAGAATGGAGTCTCAGAAGCCATAGGCAGGCCCCCTGCACAGGTAGCACACACGCATCCTGTAGGCAGGGCAGCTCCCACATGGATAGCATACACGCATCCTGCAGGCAGGTCAGGCCCCCACATGGTTAGCACACACGCATCCTGCAGGCAGGGCAGCTCCCACACGGATAGCACACACGCATCCTGCAGGCAGGGCAGGCCCCCACACGGTTAGCACACACGCATCCTGCAGGCAGGAGCCCAAGGTGTCTGTCCAGGCTGCACTGTCCCCAGCAGACCTGCCGCCCCATGCCGCGCTCTCCCAGCCTCCGCCCCTTCTCTCCAGGCTGGGGAACAACCACATCACCGAGGCGGGGGCCCAGGTGCTGGCCCGGGGGCTCAGGGCCAAC